GGGATGTGCAGTCTTTGCACAAGGCGCGGCCCAGGATCAGACGACCACCTGTGCACGCTTCAGGGGTTTTTTCTGGCTCAAGGTCTGATTTGGAGGACGTGGGGGGCTTTTTAAATGCATAGTGCGGCTTTCCACTCAAAACGCGAGATGTGAGAACAACTTCTCAGGGTCAGAGACTATAGTGACTATAGGACGGAATGAAAGTTCAAGTCGACTGACGGCAGGCGAGGTGTTCCGAGGGCTGACGGGCTTCCGGACAGACGTTCCTGGTAGACAGGTGCTGCAACCGCTGAACCAGAGAATGACACGCCCTGCATAGCGAAAGGACGAGTCGGGCCATCAGAATCAGAGCTGGTTTTCGGGCTCCTTTATAGCACGATAATGCAGAATATAATATAGATATGATACGGAACCATAAAGGAATAATGTTGGCAATTGTTTTGGCTTCTATAGTAGCAGGATCTCAAGTGTTCTCTGGGCGCACGTATGCGACTAGACGGTAGCACCACTGTTCCGAAGACTTGTATCATGCGCACTTGCAGCGCTACTCCCTACATATGCCATCGCAACGAAGTATACGTGGGGCGGACCAGAACCCTCTGCCAGTCATTTGGGTTCTAGGTGCCGACTGTAAAGCCTTAATAATTAGAATAGAGTTTATGGGGTATAAAACAAGGAGGTAATTATTTGGAGGGTCGGGGGACTTAGTAAATGGCTAGTTTATAGACTTATAAGTAATATAACCCCAATTAGGGTCCTTATAAGTCTACTTATTACCTACTTACTAAGTCTCCCGACCCTCCAAGTATTGAGGCTCCTATGTTACAAATCGTGTGCTTCTTGGTTTCCGCCATCCTCGGTGGTTTGAAGTCAGACCTCCTGCGTTTGGGGTTGGGCTCGAGGCTAATATAAGGGCCTGAATAATTGGAATAGGGTTTTGGGGGCCCATTATAGGGTTTAGGGTTTAGGGTCTAGGGTTTAGGGTTTAGGTATACTAGAAATATAATATAAATATAATAAGGACCCCTCAAAACCGTGTAAGTATTTGTTTAAGCCCCTATATTAACCCTAAACCCTAAACTCTAAACTTTGGCCCTAAATCCTTAGGGGGCTGCAAGCCTTCTGCATGGCTCGCAAATCGAGGACTTGTCTGGTTCCCTGTCGGGGCTATATTAAAAATGATCATCTTTAATCCTTATTGGGTTTAGGGGTTTAGGGTTTAGGGTGTTATTGTTTTTACTATAACAACAATTGTAAAATTGTAGCCGACAAGGACCCAGTTGTGGTGGCTGTTGAGCGTGTTTCGACAAGCCCAACGCCCGATCCGTCCGCCTCACACGCGAATCTTTGGCATGTTGGCAACAAGCCTCAGGGCTTATAGGGCGTATAGGGTTTAGGGTGTATAGGGTTTAGGGTGTAGGGTTTAGGGTTTAGGGTGGCGCAGGGGCCGCAAATCATTCGAATTGGGTGTGTTGGTGTTGTGGCTTTTGCTTGGGTAGGTCTTCTTGCAGTGCCCAGAGATGTAGGATGGCCTGAACCCTAAACCTTATACCGACACCCTCAATCAGCATTTTGGTAGAAGAGTTCAGATGATTTGGGTTCAGAAACCCTCAACCCTAAACCCAAAACCCTTAACCCTGAAGCCCAAAACCCTAAATCCTGAAGCCCTAAACCCTGAAGCCGGGCTCAAGATTCACGGGGGTCCGAGGCTCTGGACTTGGCATAGATCTCACCGTCGAAGAACACCCTAAACCCTAAACCCTAAACCCTAAACGGTGCAACTCAGCCTCCAAGTCAACCAGTGTTCGACTGCATTCACGCCACTCGCGATCAGGGGAATCGTAACCCCATTCTTTAGGGTTTAGGGTTTAGGGTTTAGGGTTTAGGGAATCGTAACCCCGTTCTAAGGTTGGGGGGCTTCGTGTGGAGCACGAAGCGCAACGGCTTCTGAAACCCCCGAACCCACTCTAAAGGCCTTAAAGTTTTTAGAGTAGGGTTTTGGGTTCAGGGCTTAGGGTTTAGGGAATTAGAATAGGGTTTTGGGGTAGGGGATACTATTAATAATTAGAATACGGTTTGGGGGTCCGGGTAGAGGATACTATGGATAATCAGAATAGGGTTTTGGGGTCGAGGATACTATGAATAATTAGAACCGGGTTTTGGGGTCGAGGATACTATGAATAATTGGAATAGGGTTTTGGCGTA